CTGGCAACCCTGTCAACAACGCATATAGCACAGTGAGGCAAAACGTGAGCAACATCATGAACGCAGTGGTGTGCTAATCGTTGCCGTTCAAGCTATGCTGCCCCACGCTCTGCACTGCATGTATGTGCGATGCTGCGCTGTGGTGTGCAATACTATGCCAGGATACGCTGCGCTGTGCCACTCGATGCACACTCGATGCTGCACGGCGCTGCCATGCCGTGGTACGGCAGCTGGCGATACTCTACGCAGCGCTACGCGATTTCCAAGCCGCGCTCGCACGAAGGAATTATGGCATGCCCTTGCTGGAAATTCCCTGTGGTCGCCCAGGTGGGCGCCCTTCGTCACTGCCCTCGTGCGCCGACCGGCGCGTTCCCGGGACTTCGTCTGGGGGCAACACCCCGCCGCCGCTCCGACGCCTCCCTCCGGGCGGGCTGGCGGGCCAGGGTTTCTGCTCGGTGGCCCCCCCGTCGCCGCTTCGCCGCCCTCGCGGCGTGAACCCTGGGAAACCTCGGAAGAAACCTCGGGAAACCCACCGAGCGCATGGCGCCCACGGGCACCACCAACGGGGAGCCAACCGAGCAAAAACCCTGGAAGCCCGTCCACTTTTTGTTGCAAAATGGGCCCGACCACAAGAAACTTTCCACAAAAAACCAAACCTGAGACCCCAGGACGTCCATCGATCTTCGGTGTGGGAACGTCACGCCTTCCATGGCAAAACTATCGAAACCCGACAAGACCAGAGCACCTGGGAGGCTAGCAGGGTGTTTCTTGGCATGGGCCCCCACTGTACCCGGAAAAGACTCCCACCAGCCCTTTCGGCGTGAATGGTCCAGTAGAGCTCATTGTGCTGATCCCTTTCGTTCCCTCGGGGGAGGAGGCTCCGCCTACCCATACCCCGTACCCCGTGGTCTGGAGGGGAGGGCCGCGATGGGGTAGCGCTTCCAAGATGGCGCTGAAAGGGCTGCAGAGAGCTCCAGATCGACTCCAGGATCGCTCACGGTAGCCCGGCATGGTTCAAGACAGCCTGTAACATGCCTTGACGAGCCCCCAAGACCGCCCCAGGACGGTTCCAAGTGCCCTCCGGGCATCCCAAAGAAGCCTCAAAGAACCAAAAGCCTGCAAAACCAAGTGTGTTTTCTCGCCTTCCCGCGTCCGGCGGGCCCCTGGGGTCTCAAGATGGTTCCACGCTGGCCCACTAGAGCCCAAAGAGAAACCCAAGAGGGGCTCACGACATCCCCAAGAGTGCCCAAAAGAGCCCAAACAGGATGCCTCAAAAAGTCAAGTGTCGGGACCCGACGGGGAAAGGGGCGCAGTGCACGCCGCCTCCTTTCTTGATCGATGGCCTTCGAAATGACTCCAAGAGGGCCCGCCAAGCTTTTTGGTCGCGACCGCAAACGGTACAGCCGCGCGCCGTCACAACGAAGCAACAAAGCAACGGCCTAAATTACGCACCAAGCGCACAGGAGCGAACTACGCTGCGGCTTTGAAAACGCGGGGGACAAGGAAGAGCTCCAGGTCAACGCGCACCGCCACAATGGCGAAGAGCAAGAAGCCGACGAACTCGAAGACCACCGCGACGCAGCCGAAGAGGACGACGAACGGGCGCGCAAGCGCTCAACGGAAGGGTCCCGGATCGCCAAGAGCGGGAGCGCGCAGGCGGCGGAAGCGCCACCACGGCGGGGGAGCAGGAGAGGCAACGCCAGGGCACCACAAGAGCAGCGAAGGCGACGAGCCAACGGAAAAGGCCACGCCCTGAGCTGGAGGCAACGGCGCCAAAGCCCAGGAGCACAAGCCGACCCTGGGGGAGGCGACGCGGAGGACTAAGCGCCCGTCAAACCCTGAGCGGGCGGAGGCAGCGAACTCAGGCAACTCGCAGGCCCCGAGCCCAGGGGCACCCCGAACTGGGCGGGGCCAACAGGCCAGCCTCATGGGCGCCCAGGATGGCCGCGGAGAGAGGAAAACCTCCAGCCCAGCGCCCAAAGTCGGGTGGGCCCCAGAGACCCGATGTGCAAGGCTGGGGCGGCGGGGGGGGGGAACCGCGGGAGGCCGACGCAGCGCGGGGGGCCCCATCTGCAAAGCCTATCTCCAGCAGGCGAAGGGACTCACCTAGGACGTTGACCAGAGCGCGACGGGCCGGAGGGTTTCCCTGCGGCCTCGCGCGCCACAGCAGCGCCGCCGAGCACCGACTGCGACGACCCCGACCATCGTCGACACCCAGGGGGGGCCAGCGGCAGCGGAGTCGCGCAGGTAGTTGCGAGGCATGGTCCGCGGCGGCTGCGACGAGGAGCAGCGCGACAGGCCGAGGCGGCGCGCGCAGCTTCAGCAGCCATGCCCCAGCCAGCCCGGCTGTCTCGAGCAAGAGACGACGGGGAGGCTGAGGGGCCCCGCAGCGGCGCGGGGGCGGGCGCAGGGGGGGCGGCCACGCGACGAGGGCGCAGCGCCCCAAGTGGCCCGAGCGAGAGCGATCAGGGGGGCCAGGGGAGGGCCGGCACCCCCAAAGGACGCTCGTGGGGCGGCATTAGGCACTAGGCCGGGGCGGCCGCAATGCGCGGCAGCAGCTGGGGGGGGGGGGCAGCGACGGACAGTCGCAGCGCAGGGTGTGAGAGTCGGAGGGAAGCGACTGACAATCGCAGCGGACGCGACGCAAGCTGCGAGCGCGGGGGCAAGGGAGCCGGAGGGAGGCGACTGACAATCGCAGTGGACGCAAGCTGCGAGCGCGGGGGCAAGGGGGGCCGGCGCGACGAACAGTCGCGAAGTGCGCGTGGCCAAAGCAAGTACATGAAAGTCAGCGCGCTTGTAGCTAGCAGCGCGGGCCCCTCCAGCCACGGCGAGGAGGGCACCTGGGGCCCCGGGGCGGCGCCCAGGGTGGGCCGAGGGGGGCGGCACTATGCCAGAGGGCGAGAGGTCACACAGGGAGGGCCCAGGAGCAAGGGTCTCCTGGGGGCCAGGGGCGAGCAAGCATCCCCAGCTGGGCGCGCCCGAGGAGGCATTAAGCGCAAGGGTGGCCCACCGAGGGGGCCCCCCGAGAGTTGGCGCAGGGAGGTAGGCGAGTCACGAGACGCCTAGGCCTGATCTCACCGTTAGGTGGCACACAATGGCTGGCGCCCGTTGGGCGACGGTGGCGACGGCAAAGCGATAAGGCAGGCACCCCCGCCAGGGCAATCGGAAACGCGCCCCGGGGAAAGGAGAGGCCCCGCTGTCGCAGACGGTGACTTGCGAGGGCGGAGGCGCGTGGAAGGGGGCCAACTGCCACGCCCAGGGCTGGCGTGAGCTCGCGGCCCGCCGGGAGCCCCCTTGGCTTGCCTGGCGAGAGGCACCGCCGCCCCATTGCCCTTTGCCTTTGCCTTTGGTCGGGGCACCTTTACCCTTGGCACGGCTGGCGAACTTGTCACGGACAGCTGGCCAGTTGACCTGGAGCCGCAATGCCTCGCCCATCTCCAATGGAAGGCAATGATGCTGACGCCGCGCCCGGAGGAAATCCTCGCAGGACCCGGGGCCCTGCTTGGTGGGGCCTGCACAGACGTAGCCAGTCTCGGAGGGGTGCTTGCGCGTCCACTGGTGCCAAATCCCGCTGAGGTAGTCCCCGAGCTCCTTCTGCAGGCGTTTCACAGTGTCGGCATGGCACTCGTAGCGGAAGGGGGAGCGCTGCACCTGTTCCAGCGGGGTCTTGTACATGTACTGGCCTGTGTGCGGGTCGCTGAAGTCCTGCGAAAGGGCCGACCGTGCGGCCGCGTAGGGGGGGGCCATGGGGGCCGACCGAACGTCTGCACAGGGGGCCGCCGGCGCACGCGGGCGCGATTCCACCGCTCGTCGGAAGCCCAGCTGGGCCAGCCAATCCACCAATCCAACTGCCGCTGTAGGGCTCGCTCCGGCTGGACTCGCACTGCCGCCATGAACGGCGCTCGCCCCCCCGCTCGCCCCGGCTGCCCTCGCCCCGCGTGGCCCTGTCGGCCCGGGGCTGCGCTGCCCTGGGGGTGGCGCCCGGGGAGGGGGAAACCCTAGTCGGCAGGACTGCCGGCGCCCTTGCAACCCGTCGCGCGCGGTGCGGGACTGTCCCCTGGCTCGTCCGCCGGCGAGGTGGGGCTGCAGAAGCTGGAGCCCACTGCGGGGCTGCGGGCAAGAGCTCTGGGCGGGGCGGGCGGGCCGGAGCTAGGGGAAGGGGACAAGGCAACCACAGCCCCCCTTCTTACCGCGGAGGACGGGAAGGGCGGGGGCGGCCTCAGCCTCGTGGGCCTCGGCCGCGGAGGTGGCAGAAACGGCGTCGCTGTGGACCGCCGGTGCGGCTCTGCTGTCAGTGAGTGAACGCCCCGTTGCGACGGCCCGGCGCGGGTGAGGGCCCCGGCCCACGGGGACACCGCCTTGGCCGCGGGGCCCTCGTCGCTCGGGCTGCGCCGCGCCGGGCGACTTCCCGTCAAGGAGTGCGGGCTGGGCTTGGCTGGGCGGGGCGGGCTGCTCCCGCGCTGCGCGAGCGGCGAGCGGGAGCGCGCTGGAGGGGCCCAGTCAGGCGCATCTGGGGAGGGGCCTGTGTAAATGCAGAACTCGGCAGGTGGGCAGCGACTGCTGAATTGTTGCCACCATTCGTTCGCACTGTGCTCCTGGGGTTGGGGCAGCGCCCATCCGTCTGCATAGGTCTTGGGTTTCTTCAAAAGGGCAGTCCTTGGCCAAATCGCAGAGCGCCCCCGTGGCGATCAAGTCGGCGTCGATGGCTCAGAAATCCCACTGGCGCATCCAGCGTGTGCCAGAGAGGGGAGCGGCCACGCAACGGGCCTGTGTCGTCGGCGTGTAGGGCCCACTTATCGTGTAACTGGTTGCCGGGGTAGTTGACGCAGAGGCGCGCAACCACGCGAGCGGCAGCTAGCCGCTCACCGCTTCAGTAGAGGTCGGCGGGGCGAAAGTCCAAGGGAACCCTGTCGCCGTAGACCGTCTTCAGGAAGGGGCGGAAAGAGCAGGGCGCCCACCTGTCTGGCGACTCGGCGCCCCGAACGTCTGGCTGGCGGGGG